CGGCAAGCCAACCGCCCACCAGCCCGTGTGAGCGAGAGGTGGGAGAAATTGCGTGCGGGCGTACATTACCTGTGATTGTGCATACCTGCAGGGAACGAACCAGAGCGAAGGAAGGAAAAAAAAATTGGTGTGTCATTGTGTAACACTGGAACTTGGAAACAGCCGGCCCCGAGGAAATTCGATTCGACTAGACGGGACGCACACGGGTCGTTAACGAGAGCTCTTTATCGCACACACATACCCTCCCCTTCCCCGCCGCTCTATCCTCCGTTGTTCGAAGGACCCGCACGATAAATAAAGCGACCCGTGCAGTGCAGTGCAGCGCAGCGCAGTGCGGTGCGGTGCGGTTTCCGAGACTGGTCCCGTTCGGAATAGTAAGCCCGGCAGGCATCGATCGCATAATAGCCACGCCGCTTGGTCGCTCTTCGCCACAACCTCCACGCACGCTATCACCACAGCCGACGCATTCGCATCGCCATCTATCACGATTGAGGATTGTTCGTCGACACGCCACTTTCCAACAGACGTTTTTTCTCACGGACGAAACACACGAGGGGGCGGAGTGGAGAATAGGGTTTTTGTGGGAAGCTGCGCGCGCTGTGTAGGTTGGGCTGCGGAAGTCTACAGCTATCGGAAGGGGGATCGAGCGATTTTGAGGATTTAAGTTCCATCGCGGGGTGTCATTGCGGGCTCTTCGCCGATTGAATCGCATCACATCAACTCATCGATACAGCAACCGACGTCTACTGGGTACCTTTCGGCGATTCCGATATACGCTTGCGGGGATTGATACGAGACGGGTTTACGATTGTACTATCCATCGAACTTCACGACACTGCGCTTAAGTCTTGGCCTGATTCTTCTAGGACATTTTTTTCTCGGGTTTAGCGTGGGATTCGTATCCGCCGGCTTTATTATGGCATTGGTTGTGCCGAACCCGCCAGAACAACCGCGACGAGTCAAGGTGTACGAGTTGAGGAACAATGATTGGTTCGACAGAGGCACGGGATATTGTACGGGGCAGGTGCTGAATGTAGGTTATCTGCGGCCGTTCTTTGGATCTATGGAGATGACGAGTCCTGGGTTTCGGGAGGGTTCATAGAGGGGGTGGTGGGGTTGCGAATGGATGCTGACAGCCGGGTTTAATCGAACAGGATGAACCGCATATACAGGTCAAATCGGAGGAGGAGGAGGACCGGCTGCTGCTGGAGACGAGGATAGTAAAGGATGATGGCTATCAGAAGCAGCAAGGTGAGACTTTTTCGGCGGTACCCCTCATTTGGAAGTGGGGCAGACTTTGCTAATGATGGGTACCTCAACAGAGACGCTGATCGTATGGACGGAGCCCAATGGAACGGATATGGCTCTGAGTTTCCAGGAGCCGGAAGGATGCGCCGCGATATGGTTAGTAGATGATGTTCTGGGGTGGTGGCATGGCCGAGATTGCTAATCTGGTGTATCGCATCACAGGGATTTTGTCAGCCACGTTCAGAATCGGATAATGTCGTTATCAAGCGCGGGTACGTTACCGAACCTGGAGGACCGATGTATGAAAACTGGACTGACGGGCTGACGCAGATGACATACTCTCCGACGATAATGAGTCCATCCTATATTCAGTCAAGCTACCGAAACCGGAACTCAATATTCTGTCGAGCATTGAGAATATGATGCATACGCTGACGATAAACACTGCGGGACGCGACTCGCTGGCTAAATTCATAATCAACGAGGACTACATTCCCAAGCTGGTGCCGCTGCTGGAGATGGCGGAGGACATGGAGATGCTGCCGGAGCTGTTCACGTTGTGTCGGATTATGAAGATAATCATTCTGCTTAACGATTCCACGATAATAGAGTATATTGTGACGGATGAGGTGGCTATGGGAGTCGTGGGTATTCTAGAATGTAGGTGGTTGAACTTTCTGACAAATGGTGGATAAAGTGGCGGGTGCTGACTGGACTGGCTGCTACAGACGACCCTGACTTTCCGACACACAAGGCGAACCATCGGTCGTATCTCGCGGACAATAGCCGGTTCAAGGAGGTTGTGCCGATTGACGACCCGGACATCGAGAAGAAGATACATCAGACCTACCGGTTGCAGTACCTCAAGGATGTTGTGCTGGCTAGGATACTGGATGATCCGACGTTTTCCGTTCTCAACTCCCTCATCTTCTTCAACCAGGTCGACATTGTGCAGCACTTGCAGACCAACACCAACTTCCTGAAAGCCCTCTTTGACCTTTTCGCATCAGATCCGCTGCCGCCGGAAGAAGTACAGCGGCGGAAACACGGCGTCCAATTCCTTCAGCAATGCGCGTCCATAGCGAAGAATCTACAAGGGCCGAGCAGATCGCAACTCTACCAGAATTTGATTCAGCATGGCCTGTTCAACGTTATCGAGTACGCACTGCTGAACAGCGACCCAGCAACTCGGATTGCGGGCACTGAGATACTGGTGTGCATGCTCGACAATGACTCGGGGATGATGCGCAACTTTATCTTCAAGCAGATACAAGACAAGACGAAGCCGCTGACGGACACGCTGATCGAGCTGCTGCTCACTGAGCAGGACTTGGGGGTCAAGGCGCAGGTAGCAGATGCGATCAAGGTGCTGCTGGACCCGAGCCAGACGCAGCCGATGGAGGGGCTTGGCAAAGTCAGCGAACTGATGAACTCGATGACGGCGACGAGACGGCCGCCGGACGATATGCCGAATGAAAATTTCTTTTCTACTTATTACGACAAGAGTGCGAAGAAGCTGTTTAAACCGCTGATAGACCTGGAGGGCAGGCCGCCTAGTATGTTTTCCCCCCCGCGCTGGAATTTGAATGTGGGGAGCTTTGGGCTAACGGGAGACTTTATAGTTACGTTTTTGTCGTCGAATGAATCCGCGTTATATACCCATCTGCTTGAATTACTGTGTTTCTTTGTGCGCCATCATCTGTTCCGGAATAAGTACTTTATCCTGACGGAGAACATTGCGCCGAGGGTTGCGCAGCTGCTCTCGGCTAAGGAGAAGTTCGTTCAGCTTGGTATGTTATCCGAATCTTTATCATGCACGGGCGATTATGGACTCGTTGGCTAACTTTCTGTGCTATTTTGGGACAGCGGCGTTAAAATTCTTTAGAGCATGCGTGCAGCTGAATGACGAATTCTACAACCGCCAGCTGATTAAGAACAAGCTCCTGGAACCCATTCTGAACATCGTGATCGAGACTATGCCGAAGGACAACTTGCTGAATTCGGCGTGTCTTGAGTTCTTCGAGTTCATTAAGCGGGTTGGTTTTCATATTGATATTACATCCCACTTACCAGCTACCGGCTGAATGCTAATATATATTCTGGGGAACCTAGGAAGGGATTAAGCTGCTCATTACTCATCTGGTCGACCAGTGCCGCGATAAACTGCAGTCTATCACCTACGTCGATACTTTCTCCTCGTTGATGGTCAAGTACGAACAGCTGCACGACAAGACGGTTCCATACAGTGCGGACGAGGACACCACGCCGCGGAATTCCGTGAACGGCGGCAAGCGCTGGGACGGGTTGAAGGACCTGGATGCCGCGGAGGAAGAGTACTTTAATGGCTCGGATGACGACGAGGAGGTCGAGTACTCGGCTGTTGAGAACAGTCAGAAGCGGATCAGGACCGGCGGCAAGGCTGTGCTGGGGGCGTCGCCGTCGGCGGGTCCCGCGGCCAGCATCAAGAGTCTGGTGGACTATCCGGATGATGACGACGTTATGGATACGGAAGACGCGGAAGGCGAGCCGGTCAAGACTGATAGCGGTGCTGCGAACAGCGTGTCCGCACCGCCGTCGGATCCGGGGATTGAGAATCTAAATATCGCGAGCAGAGCTAGCAGTGTTGCTGCGGATGCGCCGGTAGAAGATACGCCTAGCACGCCGGCGACAGATGCTGACGACCACGTTATGGCTGGATCGCTGCCGCCGACGCCAGACCGGCTGAGCGAGAAGAGGAGGAGAGAGGAGGAGGCGGAGGAAGACGGGATGGAGCGGCTGCTACGAAGTACGAAGAAGAGGAGTCCGAGCGTTGGGAAGAAAGGCGGCGTGAACAGCCCTAGCTCGACGGGTGGCGGCGGCGGGAAGAAGATCTCGATAAGTTTCGCGAGTAAAGGGGAGAACGCGAAGGGGAAGAAGGAGGAGAAGGAGAAAGAGAAGGAAAAGGAGAAGGAGGAGCAGTAGCAGTAGCAGTCTGGTCCTGCTGGCGTTATATTTCCCGGTTCCCTTTTTTTTTTTTCTCAAGCTCGATTCTCATCTGGTCCGGTGCCTGCATTCACGGATCGCATTATATCAGTTGAGCCGCGTGAGCTCGATTTTTGTCTTGAGTTTTAAATTTTACATATCCCCTCCCCTTTCTTCTACATCTCCGATTTTATCAATATGTTTCCTTTTTCTCTCTTTCTTTTCTTCTTCAGATCTGCTGATTATTGCAGGAATCGACGTTTTCGAACAGTACTGGTTGGTACAACCTTTGAAAGACGGGCATCGCGATTATGGCGTTTTTGACTTGTTCATATATTATACTTACTACTTTTACGTTCCGATTCGAACGCTTTCGTGCTTTCGTTTCTGTTCTTTTTATAACTTTTCCTTCTTACATTTGTGGTATATTAATTGTGGGTTTTTTCTATTATATTTTTATTACAATACAACTAGGTTGTTACTGTTGTCAGTAAATTCCGAGATCGATTAGCTAAGGAGCTGTAGCTCACATTTAGATGATGCTTCAAATCAGAGCAGACGTGTGTTCTTATTCATATAAGATTCGAATATGTAACTTTTATGAGTCATTTCTACGATGTGTTTGGGGTGTTTGACCGTGAGATTCCGTAAATCGGAAGTCGGGAGATACAGTAGATACAGCTCGTTCCGTCTATATGAGCTGTGTTAGTTTCGACCGACGATATGATATTGGTGGTCTAGCGCGAGTAGCTTTAGAAAGTACAGTTCGAGGCACATGGGAATCAAAATACGGCAAGATGGCCGAGTGGTTATGGCGTGTGACTCAAGCGTTAGCTTCGCTGACTCAGTCAGTGGTTTCTCATGGGCGTTCGCCCGCGGGGGTTCGAATCCCCCTCTTGTCAAGATTTCTTTTTTGTTTTTGTTTTTGTTTCTGCGGTCGACGGGCCTCGGCCTGGAGGTGTATCCTGGATGGATGGTACTGGATGCATTGCATTTCTTATTTTGCTGGGATTTATGATTGAATTTTTTTTGGGATATTTTATGTGTTTTGTTGTGGTGGTAGACGCTTGTATGGTCGAGAGTGCCAAGACGATGTGTAGACAAGGTTCGGCAGCGATGCTACTGAACTGAACCTTTTTTTGCCTATTTGTTGGCCTTCGGTGTCCGCTTTTATATCTAGCATAAGACTGTCGATATATGTGCGTCCTGTAAGGACTAAGATTTCAGACAAAATGGCCATCTGGTCTAATATTCACAAGGTATCTCGTACAAATGGCACGGTTATATACAAGTAATGGCCCTACGGAACGAAGCTGTTCCTGCGGCAGGTGAATGCCGACGACTAGACCACGACTCTCTTTGGAATTTTGACGACACCCCGCGACCGGTCGTCATGTGGCACGCCGTACCTGAACCCGACCAGCCCTGTCACCGCGGGCTTCAGCCGGAACTGGAACCTGTCCGTCTCGACGACCGTCTCCGCCTTCTTTTTCGCCGCAACACGCTCCTGCTTTGCCTGTGCGGCTTGGAACTCGGCCTCCTCGCGCTGTCGCTCGACCTCGACCATCTCCTCCATGGATTTGCCTTCGATCCGCATGCGCTCAACCTCAATGAGTTCGCCGTGCGGCATGCGCTGGTCGGCGGGTAGGATGCCTAGCGCGTCACCTGCGTCTTTGCGGGAGAAGGGCATGGATTCGGGAACTGCGAGGAAGAGTTGATTGTTTGTGGCAGGGTGAATACGCATGTCGGTGATGCTTTCGTGTTGCGGCATATCTGTGAAGTGGCTGACGGGCATAAGCGCGTGGACGCGGGTTTGCATCTCAGTGCACAAGGGGCGGTTCTGGAGATAGATTGGCCAGGTGGCAGTGGTTAGCAACTACGTCGTGGTAACATGTGGGCTATGAGTGAATTGGAGAGTTTGTGGTATGTTTGGTTTGATATCAGACTGTTGGGACCCATAGTTTATAACCATGTTGAAGTCTTATAGACTAATCGAATTTATTTGAATGGAATCATCATTGGAGTACCGTGGTGTATGTGGATGGGCAGCAAAGATTCGAGATGGGATAGTCGGGAGCTCACCTGATCTTCCCACATGCGCTCTATTTCCTTCAGCCGGACGACGGCAGCCACACGTTCCAGTTCGCAGTTCAATTCGGCTGATACTCGACGAACCGAACGCCCCATCTTGATACGTGAGTATATCTGTTCTCTGAATTCTGTCGATATCACAGGATGCACCTCGAAGGACGGGTTTGTCGGAAACGGCGAGAGAGACATTTCACTCATCGCGCGCTCCCAGTCTACTTCGTCCGCCTTCGGCCGCTTGACCCGCCTGGGCTTATCACTGTCGATAGCGTTACCTTGATCGTCGAACTCGCGCTTCGGCGTGCTATCACCCTGGCCGTCTTTCCTGGGCAGCGGCTGCGGTTTGTATGACATGTAGGTGGGGATGTTGCGGAGGGGAGTGGGGTTGTTGAGCAGCGGGGCTACGTCGCGCATCCAGTCGATAAAGCCATTGCGGCGGCCGGGAGTCTTCTCGAACCGGCGGTAGCGGCTGCTGGCCAGTGGCTTGGAGGTCGAAAACTGCCGGGAGGAGGATGGGGAGGACGGAGGTTGTCGTGAGAGGGCGAGCATAGAGTTGCGGAGAGGGAGCGGGAGGAGAAAGGGAAGGAGAGGGGAATTGGAGATGAGGGATTGAGGGATCACATTGGCGGTGGAGGTCAGGCTGGAGGGCCGTAACCGCGGCGGCATGGTCGAATTGTGGACGACGCCGCGGTTGATCTCGTCGACGTCGAAGGAGGGCGGTGGAGGAGGAAGTGCACAAGTTGAAGTTGTGCGCAGGGTTGCGGATAAAATTCTGAGGTCTTGGCAGGCCGTTGGACGTTCTGTGTTGCAGGCGACGTTGGCCGTAGAACACGCAACACGGATGTCCTGTATCTTGTCTTCTTCTCAACGAGTCATCCACTTCTCGCACTTCACATTGATGACGCGCGTGTTTCGTCAACCTCTTCTGTTCGGGTCAAAACGACGTTTCTGCAACTGGCCTCATGCCCATCTCATAGGTTGACGATCAATGGCCGAACGTTCTTTTAACGAGCTGCGCCGCAATTGCACCAAGCTTCACTGGGACACTCCAGCCTCGTAAAGGTGATGCGACGCGATCTAACGAGGTATGCATAGACGCACCTGACCAGCCGTTACATTTACCTATAGGTAGCCCCCATCGAACATTCTGAGGGACACGAGAATTCGAAAGCTCGAGAGCTTCTGGAGGTGGGATTTTTGATGTTTCGCTGTGATATGGCATTTTTATCTTGAGAGTTTGTGTATCTTGAACTGATGGCTAAATTACCATATCTAGCAGGGCAATGTTCGGGCTTCAAGAATTGTTTCGAGGACGGGTGTCCATAAATATCCCACGTCCTGCGGCGTCGGTTGGCTGATATTACTTCACTAGAGAGGGCAATGATAGCTCCAAGCTCATGCAATTGTCTCAACGCGGATTAGAGTTCTCAGGTCTGGCACGTTGAACACCAATGCATAGCTGCTGCGTGGGCTGCAAGAGCCCCAAGCGTCACAACCTCGAAAGTCCCAGCTTCTGTCGACAATTGGTTTGCGGTCCATTCATTGAAATGGGAGCCGATTCGTCTTTTGAAATCGGCGACGCGGAATCGTTCATACGGATTCCAGCGCTTTTCGGAATGCGATCTGGAGATACAGCTGTAAAGGACTCTATACAGCCCTTTGCATGAGCACCAGCGCCGTCGGGCTGCCCGCCCATCAAGCCAGCCGACGATGCAGCTCATAACTAGTCCCATTCGAGACCCCTGTCAAAGGACTGCGTTTGATAAAACATGTCAATTTTTACAACGCTGCATTCGCGCGCGACGGCGGACATATATGCCATGCGGCTCGCTTGATTCAGAGCTCGAATCGTGGCTTTCAAAGGCATCACCCGCGTCCTCCAAGCCGTATGCTGTACGACTGTGGCTGCACGCCGCCGATGCTGTTCCCGGCCACGGTGCTCCTTGTTACTATCGTCGCATGCAAGTCGAAGGATGTCGACAGCTTGCTGGTTTATGCCCCTGCTGCTGGGCCTTCATCTGCAGCTCTGTGGCGTTCTATGGGATCTTGGCGAGCTAGAGAAAACGAGAAGACTGGTACCTCGGCGAGAGAGGACGACCTGGCTTGCAGTCATCTGCACCAATTGGTACTATTATGCAGGCTAACGGTACTAAGAGGGGCCAGCTGAGGATTGTGCGCTGAACGACTGGTGCTGGGCATATATACGGATGCTGGATGCGATCGGCACTGTTAACCTATTTACTACTGGGCTTCATAACCACCGCTCTCGGCCGCGATGATGGCATGCAGAACATCCAGAAATATCTAGAGACCCATGTGCATGTGCCCTGAATAGCTTATAGCTAAGACGATTGGAAACAAAGCATTTTCCGCCGACCTTGCCTTATGACAATGATTCCATCCTGCTGGTGTGGGTGTTAGTATTCGGGTGGGTGAGGATCCGGACAGCTCTAGCTCTTATATTAAAGGCAATTTTCTCGCCCAGCAAGTGCCAGAAGGAGACTTCTGGACCTATTTTTTTCTTTCGAACACTTGCTGTCTACGAGTCTTGGCCATAGATACGATTTTTCAAGATGACCTGATTCAACCTGGGTTGATAAGTGCTACCTTCTCGATTAAAGACGATCAGTACTACGCAACTTACGACGTTTCTGGAGCATTTTCAATTGCGATACATATCGATCGAAATACCGGGGTTACGCCTGTCCTAGTACCAAGGAGAATCGTCTCGCTCTTGAGCTTGAGTAAACATTCCTGGATTAAGGGGTGAAGCAGTGGAAGATTTTGTTAGGATCCTAGGAATATCAGTGTTCGATAGTCGAATTGGTTCGCTCCAAAGATGTCGACTTTTACTGGAATACCAGTTGGAACAAAGTATGCGTAAGTCGGAGGGGGATAAGGACGTTGGTAAATGTTGGATGTCATTCGCGCCGTTATACTAACAGAATCCAAATTATAGGATAATCGTTTCTCTATCGGTGGCCTCTGCGATTGCTCTCATGCTTGTAGTTTACCTGGTGGTTAGAAGACAGTAAGTCTGGATTCGAGAACAATGACCTTACGAAAGGCGTATGCTAATGGGAGCTCAATTGTTAGGAGATTCCGTGGAAAATGGGGGGTATAGCATAATCGCGCTCCCTTCTGCTTATATCTTGTTTAGTTTTAACTGGCTGACCAGTTTACTAGCCTTCGGAAAAGGTCATCGAGGAAGTTGTCATCTTCGACTCTAAAAGCGAGCTCGATCTACCGCGATCGAAACGGTTAACGATAAGCGGACCGCTCAAGGCTCTCGAGCTGGAGGAGGAGTACAAACGGACGGCGAGTCGATTGCCGCCCCGCGGTGCTGCCAGGCTACATCCCGCAATGCTACCGATACATGTCGCCAGTACTACCAATAAAAGAGGTGGATCGGTCCTCACCAATGTCCCTACCGCGCCTTTTATCAGACCACCTGAGGAACCGAAACCCGCGAAGATATATGATCGTAACAAAGGCGCTGCGAACATCAGCATTGTCAAAACTCCGGGTACTCAACCTGGCACGACGCCAATTCCAACTCCGGCTCCCACTGCAGCTGCGAAGGCTGCACAAGCCGCAGCTGCTATACCCATCAATTCGCCGTCTATCTATTCGCCCATCGAGCTACCCGCTGACGACTCGCCGCTGGCTTTCAAACCGCTTGCCGAACAGCTGGCGGACATCTCTATCGCTCTCAATACCTCACTGGACTCACCTATCGGCAGTCCTCCCGACGAAGACTCCTATGTTCGCGCACCCAGACTCTATTCGCCGCCGAGCATGGCATACGGCCATC